GGGGGGCGCCCTGAGGAAGAGACGGGTCGAGGCTGGATTTACAGATAGCGCAGAGGAGGAAAAGTGGGCTCAGAGAAATGGGGGGAGAAAGATCAGTCGACAGGGAATGTCAGATAAGGAAATGTCAGATAAGGCCGGGTAAGTTCCTGGGTCTCTGACTGAAGGCAGAGAGTGTTCTTAAAAGTTTGGAATCTGGTGGGGGAGAAGACCTGCACATGAACAGGAAGAGGCATGCATGTGTGTCTGGACCAGGAAGGGAATTTTTATTACCGTCAGGGTAAGATTTCTGGCACCAAAACAGCATCTCACCGGCTATTCCAGTCCAGGGTACAGGGTTTCAGCCGGACCTGAGTATCAGCTTGCAGGCAGTCGACCGTAACCCGTTCACCTTCAGATAATATCCCACAGCGCATTTGTCCCAACTGCAACGGCGATTAAGACAGCGGATCTCTACAAGGAGCAGGCGCCGCATGGCGGTTCTGTCTGATGCCCCCCCGGCGCGTGTGCCGATTTGCCAAATAAGGCGTCGGCCAGCTGTCGCTATGGAAACAGGATCTCTCAGAGGACTCGTGGATGTCAGCTAGGATGACCTGCTAGAAGGACTCAACATTAGGCAGAGACATGATAGTCTATACTCCATACCATTAAAATGTTACTGCTTACCAGCATACACACATAATAACACACATAAACCACACAGTAGCTATATAAACAAATGAAATGCTGTTAAACCTCTTTAAATAAAATAATGTCAAAACTTTTAACAACCTCTACAAAGATCATTGATTGCAGTAATTAGGTAACATAGTGATTTACACCAGTCTATTTGAGAGGCATGTTAAGTTTTTCTACACTGCAATTTTTCCACTGCATGTCCCTTTAATATACAGTGTAAGCAGCTAGTGACACTCTGTGCTGTCCAGTTGGGCCCCAAGTTCTCTGCTCTTGGCCGTGTCTGACAAAATGCACACGATTTATTTACTATTTTGTAAGCTGTGGTGCCTTAATGTCTGTGACATCACCACTGGGTTCACTGACACTGGCCGTTTTTACTGGAGAAGATGATCGCGAAGTCGCAGTGGAGCAGCAAGCAGGGGCAGTGGAGCCCACACAGTGAAGCCCAGACAAACGCAGGAGAGCGACGGCAGATGAGACAATTGATCGTCTATCCCTAGCAAGCTATGCTGGGATCAAAGTTCAACAGCGCCAGAAATTCTTGCCCAGTGTTCCCAGTCAGCAGGATGATATAGCTTAAATTCTGGATTAGTGTAGGACATGGGTGTCTATGGCTGTGTGTATCTTCACTGATTGCACATTCCATCAGTAACAGCAGAGTGTAAAGGTTGAATTAGCAGAGCAAGTCATACATAGCATAGCTGTACCTAAAATAATACAATCCGCACAACATAATGGGAGACATATCAGAGTTTAAAAGAGGACAAATTGTTGATACCCGTCCCGCTGGCGTATCTGTGACCAGGACAGCAAGTAGCAGGGTAATGTCAGCATACCACCACGAAGGACAGACCACATCCAATAGGAGTAACTGTGGATGCAAGAGGAAGCTGTCTGACAGGGAATTGGCTACTAACCCGGGTTGTACCCTAAAGTGCTGCCCAACTCACTGCAGACTTAAATGCGCACCATGGTTCTCCTGTTTCCACCAAAGCTGTTCATTGGAAGCTCCACAGGGTCAGTATTCATGGTCAGGCTGCTGCAGCCAAACCTTTTGTCACTCATGCCAATGCCCAACGTCGGTTTCAATGGTGCCAGCAGCGCAAATCGTGGTCTGTGGACAATGTGAAACGTGTTGTTCTCTGATGAGCCCACCTTCACTGACCTTCTCACATCCGGGAGAGTTAGGATGTAGAAAAGCCCCAGGACCGCTGCGTACCTATAGTGCAGCACAGGGGTGGATCAGTGATGGTTTGGCCTGCAATATCATGGCATAACCTAGGCCCTCTACTTGTTCTAGATGGGCACGTCACGGCCAAGGACCATTCTGGAGAACCATGTTCACCCAATGGTTCAAACATTGTACCCTGAAGGTGGTGCCTTGCACAGCATCAGGATGATAATGCACCAATACATAACAACACTGGTGAGAGAGTGGTTTGATGAACATGGAAGTGAAGCTGAACATCTCCCATGGCCTGCAGCACCACCAGATCCGAATATTACTGAGCCACTTTGGGGTGTTTTGGAGGAGCGAGTCAGGAAACGTTTTCCTCCACCAGCATCACGTAGTGTCCTGACCACTGTTCTGCTAGAGGAATGGCTCAAAATCCCTCTGGCCGCTGTGCAGGACTTACATCTGTCATTCGTAAGACAGACTGATGCTGTATTGACCACAGGAGGCCCTATACCATACAGTACTAATAACTTACTGTGGTCTAAAACCAGGGGTTTCAGTTTCATTGCACAACCTATGCACAGTGCCATGCAAAGATCTTAAGCAGTCAAAGAAAACGTTTAAGGCTATTTATGTGGGAAGTAAGTGTATATTTCTAAAAAAAAAAAAAAATCGACATCACAACCAATTAAGAGTAACACAATAAAAACTTACAAGAATTCCTTCTGCTCTGCAAGAAGTTACCGATATATTTTTGGATGGCTAGATGAACACCGCTTCAGTTCCTAAACCTCTCCTCCCCAGCCATTCCATGTATTTGTCAAATTTCACCACCAGCTCACATAATTAATTAATTAGTTAAAAGTCACTGAGGTATTGATTAGCCATACATTGGTGTATTAGATGGTTGCTGCAAATACGGAGGTGACCTTAGGAGAGGTATTGAACTGGCTATCACACTTTGACAGGCATAATGCCATAGTTTTACACAACATGAAGATCATTTAAACGTCATTGTCCTTGACTGCCTAAGTCACATGTTGTTTGGGATTTTTATAATATTAAGATGGATTTGCCACACAAATGGTGTCCATAGAGTAAGGCACTTAATTAACAGCATGGAGCAGACACCAGAGTAAATGTGTGGTACCATTTATTATCAGAAAAGCGACAGTAAGGTCATCACATTCATATTGGGTTTCACCACAGGAACATTTAATCTTTATAGTCCAATATAATGAACTTTAAGGATACCAGATAGTTACCATGTTGACTAAAACTCCTAATAAAAGTCCAACTACTGTCTGTTAGATAAGAATAACCTAGATAATGTCTGATTCACTCAAAGAGACACATGCACCCACAAACGTAGCCATGCACGACGGACGATGTAGCGGCGGACGGAGGCATCGGGAAAACAAAGGAGATGGGAGAAATAAAAGGGAACGCTGTGATGGGATTGGGCACAGAAGTACAGCGGGCAGGGGAAGCCCGGGAGACTGGCGTTAGGCGTCATGAAGAGTCGTGAAGGTCTCATGTGCATGCACCGCACACGTGTAAAGCACTTGGTAGCAGCTGTGATATTTACAGCCCTGGGGGTTCACACAGGAACTACAGCTCTGCTGGGCTCCAGCTGTTTCGAGGTCAACCCTCGGCCCCGTCTGCTCACAGAATGATCGTCTCGGTTTGGCAGGAGAGGGACAGAGCCTGCTTGTTAGAGAGCGAGGTGGGGGAGGGGGCCGGGCGGTCGGCAGACGCGGAGGGGGAGCGGCTGGCCCATCGGGATGGGGGCCGTTGGTTCTGGGGACGGGCTGGACGAGAGAAGCTCTTCCTGACTGACAGTGGAGAGTTTTTTCTCTCCTGAAAAAAAATGCAAAAAAATGGGAGAACCTGAATGGACAATCAGTCTCAAAGACACACATTATGTAAACAAGAACCTTCGTTTGAACAACACAGCTGAGAATCCAAGACACAGATGTGAATCATTGGTCTGAACGTGTTTCTAGAATAGAATAGAATAGAATAGAATACAACATTGAAACTTTATACTCAACTGAAACACTGTTATTTGGTTCACAAACTGAAGAGATTCAAACATGCAACAGACAAAGGGTATTTTTACACTTGGCTCAATTCAGCTCATTTAAATGGACTTAGTGCATTTCCCACACAAAATAAGCCGTATGTGACTGCTCCAAACTAACTCAGACCCCCCAAAAGCGAAATAAACTCAAACCACCTGAACAGGTGGTGCAGAATCTCAGAATTCGGAGCTAAAATCAAAACGGTTTTTGTCTCACGGTGAAGGTTACGTTGCTTGGTTTTAAAAACTGACCTGGCAGAGTCATGCATGGGATAAAAACACGGTAATCTGCAATATTTGTTTTGCTTTATTGAAGGGTTATACTGTAGAACCTTGGGACTGGAGCGCCTCTTAACTCGAACAATTTGGATATGGAATGGGTCTGTTCAATTATCTTCGACTTGTACCTCGACCGAAATCTTGGAACTCGACCGTTCCTGCTAAAACTTGTGTGGGTCGAGACACGTTCAGCTCTATCAATTCGGACCTGGACTGGGTCAGCCGAGAACAACCTAACCGCAACTCAACCGAAAACTCGGAACAAAACAAAACAGAACGGACCTGCTAAAACTTTTACGGATTAAGCTGTGTCTCTGACGAGCTGACACAAAGCCAAACGGACCTGCTGCGATGCTGATGCCTATGGATAGCCCTCAGCCTCGCGGTACTGTACGTGCAAAAGCGGTGTCCCTGTTAAGATTGTAGATCGATCACACGGTTTGGGATTAAATAGAGTGTCGATCCGCCTGTTGAGTACATGCGATTATATGTACATGTGATATATACCATTAATCCCCAAAGTGTGTTATTAAAAAAACGAACATCCCTTAACAGCCTTGCTTGTAATACCGCCTGCTTCCTTATTGTCATCTCATCGAGACACTCATGAGCAGTTCAAGGTCCAAAAGAACCACGTGTGAATGTGAAATTAATAAATACTACGTATGTGACCACCCTGGGGGTTGGGCGGGTTCCGGAGTTTTCCGGAATTCTACTTGTTTTTAGGCTTTAGACAGGGAAAGCAGGGGGGGGGCTTTAGAAACACAGTGTCTCCTCTCTTAATGGGATTTGCATTTTCACTGGCTGAAGGATGACGAATAAGTTTACGAATAAGCTCACAGTTTAGCACTGAGCATTGAGAAACGTTATATCTCACTTGTGGGAGTTTTACTTACACAAAAACATTCTTAGGGCAGAACGAAGAATGATTGGTTCAGAGAGATAACCAATCAGATTGTAGAGGAGACGGGTCCAAACAACTAGAGGTGGTGGGGGCCAAGACATCTGATTGGTTAGTCTGACATCTGACCAAGATCTGATTGGCTATCTTTCCAGACCGTTTTTCGTTCTGCCCTCGGAATATTTTCGTGTAAGTAAAACTTCCATTAGCTTATATTTCTACCTACAGGCAAGTATTTGTCAGTGGAGGCTGTGCTAGATAAACCAGCGCTAGTGGGACATGGCCGTATGTGAGTGTGTCCATTTACCTACCGATGGTGCACTGGTTGGGCCTCTGAAGGTGGCTGTAGATTGAAGCTCTATATGCGACAGCCTCCCATTGCGACCACATTGCTGTTCCAGCTCCAGCATGTCCAGAAGCCCGATTAGGTCCCCCTCCTTCCCTGGACAGGGCCTGCGAGGCTGATACTGGTCAGACCCACCATCACCATGGTAGCTTTTTACGATTTTCTCGATCGCTCCATAGTTTGACCTGGAGTCCGCGGGCCGAGGGTAAGCAGCTAGAGTCCCGGGCTTCCAAGGCTGCTCGTTCAGAACCCGGGAACGAGCCCGGGTGGCAGCGTCCCGGGCCAGACAGCCGCTCGTCCCTAATTCACCAGCCCTCTGAGTAGAACCCCCAGGCTTTGTCCTCTGGGCCTTATTCGAAATGGACTGGCTGAAGGCAGCAAGGTCCTCCTGGTCCTTTAGGCACTGCATTTGGTCACCCATGCTTTGAATATTGGGTTTAACCTGGGTCTGTGAAGGGTCCTTGGAAAAAGAGCCCTTAGTTTGGTTGTCAGGCTGCTGCAGCAGATGTTCAGGAGGTAGTCTGCCCTCCATGAACTCACGGCCAGTCCCTGCCTGGAACACAATGCGGTTAAACTCAGCAGCCTTCAGCTCCAGAATCTCATTCCTCATTCTGGGGTCAGAGTAGGAAGGAGGCTCGAGAGTCACCTTAAGTGAGTCCTGGGCCACAGGCTGGAGCCGATCCCAGTGTGGCCTCAAACCCCCATTTTGTCCTGAAACTGGGGCTTTCTCTTTGGGAGCCTCTGAATCACATGTCATGATGGGTGCGTGTGAGGATGCCTTTCTGCTTCCAAACCTACTGCCATCCCATGACCACCGGCTATGGCAACAGCTAATATTGCACTTGGAGTCTGCAGGCACTAGATTTGTAACCACGCCAGAGTCAGTGAGGGTCTTTCCCTCATTCTCCTGTAACATCACTCCAAACTTTCTGAGCACGGAAGGGCTGCTGGACTTCTTGTCTGTGCCGACACCACAGCTCTGCTTGTAGTCTGTGTGATATTCAGGAAGGTCATGCTCTGGGGCTGTGGAGTGTTGTGAGTACCAGGAAGAAGTGCGAAGAGGGACAGGTGGAGCTTCCACCTTCTTTTGTGGAGGTCTGGACTGCAAATCCCGGACAGTGCCTTCCCAGCTGATCCAGTCTTGTTCCTCGAGGAGCTGGAAGTCACACCAGGGACTTTGGGTATAGTTGATATCCCCATTCCTTGCCTGGTTCTTCACATTTTCCTCTTTTTCAAAGTCTTGCAGGAAGGAAAATGACTCTATATCACTTCCAAAACAAAGAACCAGAGAGAACAAAAGCGAAAATTCAGACTCTTCAGACGTTTACACACAGTTGTGAACTGACACTGCGTTGTGAACTGACTAAAGGCATACCTACCTTCTCCTTTCAGACTTCTTCTTGATCTCATCCTGGTAGCTGCACAGCTCCTCGCTTACTTTGGCAATTTCCTTGAGGGCCTGGAGATGACAAAGACAAAAGATAATTCATGGAAGAAAATCCTGAAGGAGACTGAATTAAAGCAGAGGGATGGAGTTTTCCGGATTCTCTCAAAACTTACAGCGTTAAGAGCGGTGATGTTCTTCGTCTTATTATTTTCATAGGGTAGACCAAAGACCTTTGGGCTGCAGACGGAGCTGGTAAGGGACTGGGGTGTAGTAAGGGAGGAGCTACCATTGGCCAGCTGTGTACCAGGGGAGGGGCTAGTGAAGGCCTGCTGTATATTGGAGGAAGGGCTACTGAAGGCCTGATGTGAGGGGGAGGGGCTACTGAAGACCTGATGAATACTGGAGGTGGAACTACAGTAGGGCTGATTTGACAGAGAAGGACGACTGAAGACCTGATGTTTACTGGAGGCAGGGCTACTGGAAGTCTGATGTGAGGAGGAAAGACTCTTTAAGTTCTGCTGTATACTAGAGGAAGGGCTATTGAAGGGCTGATGTGAGGAGGAAGAGCTACTGAAGGCCTGACGGCAGGAGTAGGGGCTACTGAAGGCCTTGTGCACAATAGGGGAGGAGTTACTGATGGGCTGGATCACAATGGGGGAGGGGTTACTGATGGGCTGGCTCTTAATGGGGGAGAAGGTACTGAGAGGTGGGCGTGTGCTGGGAGAGGGGTTACTGCAGACCTGGGGAGTCAGGGGAGCATGGCTACTTAAAGTAGGGCGTGCCCTGGGGGTGGGACTGCTCGCGGCCCGGCGCCTGGGGGAGATGGGCTCAAATTTGTGATGGAGGCAGCCCTGCAAAATCTCCTCGATCTCTGCATCCCATTCACTATTGCTGTGACGATCGGCGGAGTCGGCATGGTGACGGGGGTTGGAATCACAGCGGCTGTCTGGGCGGTCGCCGGAGCCGTTACGGGACACCGAATCGCTAAGGATGCTGGATCCAGTGGTGCTAGACTGTAAGCTGAGTCTCAGGGGGCTACTCCGCATCCCAGTCCGGTCCCGGTGGGATTTGACCTCATTGCACAGCTGCGAGTAGAACACGGAGGTGCAGTCAGGGCACGTTCTGGTACCTGATGTACCTGCCCCACCTGCGTGGCTCCTGCTCACCTCTTCCACCTTGTGCTGCATGTCCCTGAGTTGCAGCTCCCACTCCCGCCGCTCGGCATCGAAGCGCTCCAGAACCTCGGCCCGGTGCCGCGTCCAGCCCCGCTCGCTGCACTCCAAGCGGCACCGCAGCGCCATGGCGGCCGAGTGCGTGTCTGACAGCAGCCGTCGCTGCTCCTCACGCTCCCGCCTCTGTCGCCCGTCCTGGACCCCCGGATCAGTACCAGGCCCACTCACTCTCGCCTCCAGCTGGAGAGAGATGAAAAGTGTGCCCGGGTTGAGCTCTCGATCTCCGTAGGCATGTAGATTTGGGTCAAACCCGGTAACCCCTGTTAACAATGTGCAACAATATACACTCCAGATTCACCCCCTGATACTGGTGAGAGTTTCACTCCAAATAATGCTGAATTGCCATGTATCCATAGTGAGGAGCTCACCCTGTTCAATTCAGAGGGCTATTTCAGATGTCTCTAAGCATACTGGGTGTTTGTAGCTGTGTGGCTCAGTGGGTTAGGATGCTGTGCCTATGATCAGAAGGTCGCCGGTTCAGATCCCAAGGTCTGTGGAAAAATGTAACCTTCATGCCTTGACCAAGACTCTTAACTCCCAATAATCCAGGGACTGACTGACCCAACTAACTCAAAAATCTATGTTGCTTTGGACAAAAGCATCTGCTAAAGAAATAAAATGTATAAGAAAAACTCTCACTCGTTCACGACTGGAGCACACACACAGTTTGGGCGGAGCTGGTGGCCCAGCGCTTTGAACTGGGACCAGTCTACTGTCTGTTTTTAGCTAGGGCTCTCTGTCCCCTTCACTTTATGATTTCTGGGGGAAAAAAATCATCACGGAGATTCTTGGATACTGCAGCAGTGAAAAGATTTGAGGCTAGAGTATTTCTGGCCACGCTATGGTATGCGTGGTTTGGCCCTCCGCCTTCCTCGCACGGGGACTGGCCCAGGGCAGCATTCCGCTGCATCCTGTCGTGCAGGACAATAGGTCACACAAAACTCCAGTGCAGGCTACAGCTCTTGAACTCGCCTTTCTAAGCAAGTCACATTGCAGAATGGAGCTTCCAAGGAGCCCAAATCTGGTACTGATATCCATTACTTTAGAAGCAGAGGTGGAAAGTTCAGATCCAGCAAATATAAATCCAGACCAAGGTTTTGTTTCAACAAACCAGCTGAGTACATTGTGACTGTCACTCTTTATACTCCACCTTGGTCTGGATTTATATTTGCTGGATCTGAACTTTCCAACTCTGTTTAGAACAGGGGTCTCCAACTTCGGTCCTGGAGACTTACCATCCAGTAGGTTTTCTATCCTACCTGGCTTCTGATGAGCCACACCTGCTCTCAGATAAATACCAGGAACAGGAATTGCTCATAAGAAGCCAAGGGGGACAGAAAACCTACTGGATAGTAGCTCTCCAGGACCAGAGTTGGAGACCCCTGGTTTAGAAGAATCGTAGTCAAGTAGAAGAAAACCAGCCAGAGCTAATGCAGTGAGTGTAGTGTAAAGTGTTGCAAACTGGTGCAGCCCAGTGCGGTCCAGGCCAGTGCGATCCAGGCCAGTGCGATCCAGGTCAGTACAGGCCAGGCCAGTGAGGTCCAGCCCAGTGCGGTCCAGGCCAGTGCGATCCAGCCCAGTGCGATCCAGGTCAGTACAGGCCAGGCCAGTGAGGTCCAGCCCAGTGCGGTCCAGGCC